CCATGTTCTCCAGAGTCTCCTCTCGAGTCCTGCTCCGAAAATCGTGTCCGAAAAGCGACGACTGATGATGGGATCAATCGCTCTTCGAACACGTAACATGAAGGTCTTATCCTCATAAGTCGGAGTTTGCATTCCAAACTCCTATTGCTGCTACTATAAGCATTGCCAATTTGGCACCGACCTTGCTAATATCGGCACGTCCCGGGTCTTACGTTCATATGAAGCATGTGATTAACACATTATCACATTGTGATAGTTGCAACACTACGTAAGCACTAAGTTATTGCCCTTACCACTATATGTGCCACATATTATGTGGATTCCGATCGGTGAAGATGGAACACGACAGGGCAATCTGTGAAAAACCTGTGAGTTTTATAACGAGTACATAGGTTGATACAAAACAGATTGAACGACATGCTAAACCAATGTTAGGAAACCAGTGGTGACCAGCTGGTCAGGAAACTGGCTCTTGCATCAGATGAGTTTCTCGTACTGACGCGACTAACATACAAACTAAGGGAATGAATATGGGTTCAAAAGTTATGTCGGAATATGTATGAGAAAGAATATGTAGTTGGTGTGTTGAACAGCCGAAAAATATCAAATGTCACCATCACAACATTTATGGCAATCAGTGCCACACGCAGCGTCTACAGGCCAACAAGGAGGCGCAATAAACCCGAATGCCCTGCAGATTTTGCAACCAACACAGCTAACTGGATTCCCAAGGTCCCTATACGAGTCTTGTTTGAGGTCAAATCCGGACACGTGACTGCCAATATCGGCCTGCTTGTCCATCATCATGTCAGAGATGATCCTCCCAGTATCATCCACATGAACATCACCGTTGACAACACCCAAGGTAAGCAGGATAGCAAGAATAAGAGATATCTTCATATGAGTGATGATAATCACGGAAGACATTCAACGCTTAAAAATGCTGATAATGCCTGACATACAACTGTGTGCTCCAACACACAGTTATACTGAGCTCGAGTAGAGATTGATACCATCAATTCGATAGTTGAAG